TTAAGACGCATCACAAAGATTTCTCATAATCAATTTGGATTTATGTCAGGCAGGTCTACTATGGAAGCTATACATTTATTGAGAGGATTGATGGAGAAGTTCAGAGATAATAAGGAGAATCTAAATTTGATTTTTATTGATTTAGAAAAAAACTTACGATAAGGTTCCATGAGATATCTTTTGGAGAGTTCTTGAGAAGAAATGTGTTGATATGACTTATATTCAAGTCATTAAAGATATGTATACTAGAGTTGTTACTTGTGTTCTAACATAATGAGGATTGACCAATTATTTTCCTATTTCTATTGGATTGGCTTTAAGCCCATATCTTTTTGCTTTTGTTATGAATAATCTTACTGGACATTTACAGGAGGATGTACCTTGGTGTATGCTTTTGGTTGATGATATCCTTCTCATGGATAAGACGAGGGAAAAAGCCCATGAAAAATTTGAATTATAGAGGTCTACATTGGAGTCTAAAGGCCTTCATTTGAGTAGAACTAAAACCAAACACATGAAATGTAATTTTAGTAGTAGTGGCTCTAGTGACAGAAGTGTAACTTTAGGTGATCAAATTATTAAAAGGTGTGAATGATTTAAATATCTCGGGTTTGTTGTTCAAAGCGATTATGATATAGATGGGGATGTTAATAGTGGAATTCAAGTTGGTTGGTTGAAGTGGAGGAATGCTTCGGGTCGTTTGTGTGATAGAAAAGTATCACTTAGGCTGAAAGGGAAAATTTATAAGACGGTGGGGTGAGGTGAGACCTGCAATGCTCTATGGCGCTGAATGTTGGCCTTTAAGAGAAGTATAATACTAAGTTAAGTGTCATCGAGATAAGAATGATTAGGTGGATGAGTGGTTTTACACTTAGAGACAAAATGTTAAATGAATATATCTGAAATAGGGTTGGTGTAGCTCCTGTGACGGACAAAATTAGAGAAAGTTGTCTTAGATGGTTTGGTCACATTAAGCGTCGACCATCTGATGATCCGATTAGGAGAGTGGATGTTCTATATTTGACTTACGTTAAGAATGGCAAAGGTAGACCTATGAAAACTTGGGCTTATTATGTAAAAAAATGATCTTAACTTATTAGAACTAAATGAAAATATGACACTAAATAGGACGCAATGGAGAAAAAAGATCTTGTAGCCGACCCCATGTAGTGGGATTAAGGCTTTTTGTTGTTGTTGTTGTTGTACATGATATGGGCTCACTTTGACTTCGATCGAACTGTTTTTATGTCGTTTGATTCAGATCACTGAGACACTTCACATAATAATCAATTGAAGTGTGGGCATTTTAAAATTTATTTTTCAAAAGCGTTGATCCAAATGTGCATCTAAATTCCTGCAAATCAATATGACTTTTCAAGATGTATCATTAACAAAATCAATCAAACAAATCAACTTCAATAAAATCTAATTGAAATTAGTCAATTCTCTTACTACATATGATTTTAACATATTTTTTATGGGGAAATTTGAGTGAAAATTCACATTCCAAGCGGCCATAATTTGAGCAAAATTTTAATTCAAAATTCTTGAAACTTTATTAAAAAAAAGTCAACAAAATAAAAACTACTAAAGCTTTATTGCAATTATCAAAATAGCTTGTGATTCTCCTCATAATAAATCCTAACTTTTTTTAGTTTATTGAAATGAATTTTTTTTAATATCAATCATACAATCCAGCTTTGTTTTTTTTAAATAGCTTATCGCCTCTTTAAATCAAAGTTCTTTGCCACCCCATTGTTTGTTGTTTGTTGGTTTGCCAGAAAGGTAGCAAAGGATGAGGTAGACCTATGAAGACTTTGAAAGGGGAATTTAATTTATTTCTATGGTTATTTGTTGGTTTCTTTGATTTGCCAGAAATGAATCTAAACATAAAGGTAATTTAATTTTCCGGCTTTCTTATTTAACTTTTATTAGAAATTATATTTACCAAATGCTTAAATTTGAAAATATGAAGAAACCTTTGGGATTGGATGTAAAAAAAAATATTTGATAAATTTAATATTTTGATTCCAGCTTACCGTAAACCTGTTACTAACTTGATTTTATGGAAGAAACCTTCGAGACATAATTTAAAATTTAATATTGATGGTAGTTGGAACAATTTATATGCTGGTCTTGATGGGTTAACTTTTACAAGAAAATTTTTTTTTTTGGTTTTCTGCTTCTGCTGCGGCTGTTAGACCTCTTTGTGCTGAAGCAGAAGCTGTATTTATGGCCCTCTTCTTAGGCGTTAAATGTGATTGGTCTTACATTGAGATTGAAATGGATTCTATGGAACTTTGGAACTATTGTACTAAAGAAATAGTATCATTGATTTCTTATTATTTCTATGAAAAAAAATCTTTGCTTTCCTCAAGTTATTGCTGGTTCGTTGGATTTTTATTCATCGAGAAGGGAATCGGTGCGCTAACTGGGCAGCTAAAAGAGAAGGTGACTCAAGAATTCAATTTTTCTGTTAGGATTCCACTAGAGTTAGCTCATCTGATTAAGGGTGATTCTTCAAATATTCATTATATTCGTATTGATAATGATTTTTTCAGGTTTTTATCGTACGAATTGTAGGTGTTTTTCGGTTCTTTAGTTTTTTATTTTTTTTGCTTGAGTTGTTTGGGTGGTGGTGTCTTTTTTGGTCGCTGCCTCCTATTTTTTATTTTTGTTGAATAAAATTTCCTCCGGGATTAGTTTAAAAAAAAAGACATGGGAACAAAGGCTGAAGAGACAAGACAAAACTAAATTTATTATACCATTTTTTACATAAATACAGAACATTACAAGTCTATTTAGATAGCCAACACAGTGGCATGCTTGTAAAACTAACCGCGGGTAAATGCAGAGGGAGCCTAGCCTGGAAGATTATAACGAGGAGCACCATTCAAAACCAATTCATTTTTCCTCAACCCAAAAAAACATAGTTTCAAAACCAATTCATTTGCAATGAAGTTCCCCTTTCCCGTATTTCCTCTCTTTCTCTGTTTTCTTCTTCCTGCATGTTTCCTGGCATCCTTGTGCTGAAGTTTCACAAAGCAAGAAAATAACAACAATAAAGAGAGCAAAAAACGTCTTTGGCTCAAAAATGAAAAATAAAAATAAAAATTTAAGGCATTTTTTTCTAGCTTTCTTAAGAAAGAAAGTATTTGCTGCAAGGAAATAAGCAATAGAAAATGAAATTTGCATTACTTACTTTTTTTAAAGAATGGCAGCGAACAACACGATCCAGTGTTGCCCTCTTCAGTCCATCATCACCAAAGGGAAGCACAATTGCGCGACGTTGCCAGCCGACTCTCCGTTGTAACAGAGTGTTGTATATGTAAACAATGAGGTTAGGAGGCTGTGAAATATGTAAATTCCATTGTTTTATGTGCGTATAAATCCCACCAAAAAAATTACATCACAAGGGCTCGGTAGAAATATAGATTCTAGAAATATGAGAAATCTTGTGCCAATCAGAGCCTGCAAGCCTTTGATAGCGCTTCTGAAACTCTGGTTGACAACCGTAGACTGAGAGTTCTTCCAATGAGGTAGGTAGGTGTTGTAATTCCCGGAGCAGAGGAACGTTATTAATGAAAATAGTTCGGAGAGAAGGAAGGTTAGAAAGGCAAGACGGCAAGCAATTCAGCTTCTCAAGATCTTCCAGAGACAGCCTATACAAAGAAGAAGGAAGTTCTGGCAGATTTCGGAGTGGAATCATTCTTAAGCGGAGATGTTTGAGAGAAGAGTGCGACAAAGGCTGTAAGCACTGCAATGATTCGAGGGAGGTAAGAAATAAATTTTCTACAGAGATGGGGATGGTTGGCAATAGCTTCAGCTGAGGAACCTCATGCACATATAGAATCTTGAGTGAAGAGAGGCTTGACAAGGTGGTAGGAAGGGACTGCAGGGATTTGAGCCTTTCAAAGTTGAGCTCATGAAGGGACGAGCTAACTTGAAGAAACCATTGTTCTGCCTCAACTGGAAATGAAACCAGATCATTATTATCCTTAATTTCCAGCTTTTGAAGAGAGGCGAGACTTCTCAATGGCACCATTTGCAACACGGATGGATTGCTTATAACAAGTTCATTGAGTATGAGCTGATGATTCTCATTGGCCACCACTTCTTGCCGTCCTCTTAGAGAGATGAGATTGCGGCAATCTACAATTGTCAACTTTCTAAGTGCTGCAAGTCTCGCTGTTTCTTCAGCCAGTGGAAGAGATCTAATGTTGGGGCAGCGAAGGACTTTTAATGTTTCAAGGGGAATGGATTTTGAAGTGCTGCAACTGTTGCCCGTGCCACGTTGCCAGTTCAGAGCTTTCCACCCAATGTTATCTATCTTCAATTTCTTGAGCTTAGGAGGCAAAGAGGGCAACTCTTGCAAATTTGGGCAATCTTTTAGATACAATTCAGTCAAGCAAGGAAACAGACAGTCATATGTTGTTGGTGCAGCATCAAACCAAGCCTCCATTGCTTCCAATTTCTCAATACGTAGCACATCTAATGATGGAAAGACACGATCCTCATCATTCCCATAGAATTTAGAATCGAGTCGTTTTATTTTTGGCATGTTATGAAGATACAAAGACTTGAGGAAGGGAAGCTGCCCAAAAGGTGGAAGAGTTTCCCACTCCAAACACTTATCCAGTTCGATGCACTCTAGGTTGGAGATCAAATGGGCCTTGTTCATCCATATTGCAGACCTCGCACCCATGTATGCATTTATACTCAATTTCTTTAGGGTGTTATGGGGTTGAAGGTTGTCAAGTACCTTCTCATCTAAGTTGGGATCTAAAATTTTACGCTCTATATCAAAGTGAGGAGTATCACCCCATTCCAAGAACAAAGCCGTAAGGTTTTTTTTATCACATAATTTAGCACTGTAAGCCTCTTTGGGTTCCTTCACATTTTCGACGTGTTTGATTCTTAATTGATGAAGTTCATTCATATACTCCAGCTCCCCAATTCTATAACCTTCCTCATTCTTAACATAAAATCCATCGAGTTCTTGAAGAGAGTTTAACTTACCAATCCCATACAACCCAGGGAAGTGATCCCAGGGTAATTGCAGATAATGAAGATTAGAAAGGTTATTCATATCCCTTGGTAAGAAATCATGAGAAAGAATAATTCCTGAAAAAATATCATGGATTATGAATTGCAATTGATAAAGACTGCTTAAAGATCTTGGCAGCCGAAAGAGATCAATATGACGAAGCCTTAAGTATCGAAGGTGTATCAAATACTTAATTGCCTCGGGTATCATTTTCAAGCCTCGAGCACGTATATATAACAAACGTAGGCTTCTTGATGCTTTGAAGATTTCAGCGAGCACGCCGATAAAATCTTGATCATCTACTAAGTAAGTTAAATGAAGTGAACGTAATTTTCTAAATTTTGTCACCTTTCTAAGCACATCTAAATTTTTAGTTTCAACAGATAAGTGTCGAATACTCTCAGGAATTGTATGAAGTAACTTTTCATCACCCATAACTCTAAAGCACTCCTGTGGAGAAATAGACTGTGCCAATTCATGTAATAAATCGTGCATCGTATAATAATAGCCATAGTCATCAGTCTGAAAAAAAGATTTTTGTACCAAAACCTCGAAATACCTTCTTCCAATATCCTCCATAGTATCTCCTCCTCGAACATTAGATGAATGAATGAAACCCAAAGAAATCCACATTCGAACTAAATCATCTTTAACAAAAAAATGATCTTCTGCAAACATACCACAAAATGAGAAACAATTTTGTAGAGGCTTTGGTAGAAACATATAACTCAATCTTAAGATTGGAAATATATCATTTATGCCCATTTCTCCATTTCCAATATCACTATTTAAAACTTTCATCCAATGCCTTTCATCCAAGTTAGAATTCAAAACACCACCCATGACCTTTGCTGCTAACGGAGATCCATAAACCTTTTTTACAATCTCAACTGCTATGGATCTTAATTTAGGATGATGAACATCAGGATTCTCTACATTAGCAAAAGCATGATTGTTGAGGAGATGTAAACAGGCATCCTCCTCCAAGCCCTCCAATCTAAATGTTTCCTTCTTCTTATTAATCACCTTTGCAATCATCAATGCAACAGAATCCATCCGAGTTGTTGTCAAAATCTTACTTCCCAAACTTCCATAAGTCAGAGGAGCGAGCACATTCTCCCATTTGCTTTTATCCTGCTCCTCTGACTCCTCCCAAATGTCATCCAGCACAAGTAAGAACTTCTTGGCAATCACCTCAGATTTAAGACTTCTTTGAAGTGCCTCAAGTGATTCCAAATCAGGCTTCTTCATTTTAAGACATTCCAGCATATCTCTAAAAACTCTTTTCACATCAAAGTTATTGGAAACGCAAACCCACATTTTAAGATTAAATTCCCTTGTGATTTCATCTTCATAGACATGTTGCAAGAGAGTTGTCTTCCCCATACCACCATGACCCACTATAGAGAGAAGAGAAATGTTGCTCCCGTACGAAGTAGTGCTAGTACTAAGAGTCTCATTTTCATTTGATGGCTTCCTCAACCACTGCATAACAAATTCTTTTTCTTTAACTCGACCAATAAGATTATTTTTAGGCAAGGATCCCGTTTCACGTGTTTTGTACAAATCAATCAACTGCTCCTGTTGCTCCTGCTTTGTGCTTTCTAAAAGATGAAGAAAATTGCCAACATCAGCTGATACTCTATCAAGCTTCTTCACAACCTCCTCCAGTTTTTTCAATAAGGGATCAATTTGGAGAGCACGTTTACCAATTTTAACAATTCCTTTCTTCATGGAGCTCATGGCAGAACGCAGCTTTGTTTGCTCCTTGTTTTCGTTCAGCTGATTTTCATGCTTCATGTACTCAAACTCATCGAGCACATCATCTGCTTCATCTATGGCATCCCGTAGCTGCCACAGCCATTTGTTCAAATCCGAGTTTTTGTCTGTGATCTGTGCTTGGCTGGAAGCAAGGACCACGGCTTGGATCTTGGGGTAGTTCTCTCGCAACCTTTCCAGCTCCTCCTTCATGCCTGTCTGCCATCTGGCTTGACGTTTCAAGTACTCAAAGCCAGTGCTGATGAGCTTCTCCATGATTGGACCACCAAACCATTCTTCCATGGCACCGATCAAGGTAGAGCAGAACTGAACAAGAGAAAAAGGGTAAAATTCCCCAACAAGTTTAAGGCCTGTTAGATCTGCGTAATTAGATTTGGGAGATTTTTACATAGCATAAATTCCTATATTTTGTGTGCGATGTATGTAAATCCCCATTGAAGTGTTGAAATCACCCGAACAACTAACCTTCCAATGCGATTTGCGAAATCCAGAGACTTAAAGAGTAGTCAGATCTACAGAAATTTCACTCAGCCTTCCTCGTAGAGCTCCAGTCGGCGTCGATCGAGTTTCAACCGGACATCCGTCGGCCGTCGGTGTCCAGCAAGCTCCCTTCGTCTTCCAAACTAAGCTCCGAGTTCGTCACCGCCTTCTTGGTCTCCTCGTCGAGGCAGCAGATGAAAAACAGGCTTTCGCCATGATCATGCTTCCAGTCAAAGTCCACCAGATGATTTTAATATTATCTACTAAGTCTGTGAGTTTGCGGATTATTGTACGTGTATACTCCGTACATACAGAAATTATTATATCAAGAATTTTGATGTAATTTTAAAATTAATTTACTTTTCATTAAATTATAGTATTACCTTTTTTGGATATGAAGCCAATGAGAATTTACAAGATAATCACATTATTAACTTTATGTATAATGAAGGTGGTGTTTTCGTTGTGCAAAAACAATGCGGAAACGAGAAAATTCACACAACAAAAATCAAACACAATATATTTATGTGGTTCGGTGTTGAATTGATTCACCTATATCCACGAGAAAGATTCCACTAGCACCAAATGGGGAGTAGAAAAAAGCTTGGGGTTACAACTTCTACACTTCTCACCATGCATCTCTATGAACCCTAAGTTCCTTTTATAGAAGATGATTAGGGCGTACAAGTAAATAAAGCAAAATAACAAAATTATCCTTAATTACAATAAAAGTAATAAATATAACAATATCCAACTCATCTCTTACTTACAAATAAGTGAGAGGTAGTTAAATGAGTTCCAAACTCCAATCAGTCGCACTATGGGCCTATTTGGCGCAGCGGATTTGCGGTGGGACGCAATTAGGGTCGAACGAGGAACACGTATAGGACCCTGTGGCTCGGCTTCGACACTCGACTTTTTACCTCAATACCCTGCACGAAACATTTTTGCTCGCGAAACAGGTGAACGTGTGATCGAAGATCACCTCTTCTCTTCTACTCCGACGGCTTCCTCTTCCTCTCCGACCTGCGCCCACGATACCCATCATTTTCCTCCTCTTCTCACGAGCACCTCACGCTTCATAGGCCTTCTTCCTTCTTTTCGCACCGGTAAAAAAAAACTTTTTTTTTTTTGGGGATCTGTGAGATGGGCAGAGGCAAATCTTTGTAGATCTACCATTTCGTATGTTTGGTCAGGTTGATTGTGTTCAGTAGCTATTAAAACAGTTGCATTTCCATGTTTCAAGTGGTGGTCCGTATTTTCTCTTCTATGATTTTGGATGCCTTTCGCTTCGTATATTGGATTGCTATACATATAAATGTGGTGCTTCAATACAAATGAGCTCTGTATTTTTCTCCAAATCAGAGATTTAACTGTCATGTCGTAGGTATGAAATGGGGAATTGGGTTTTACCGAAGTGGAATTATGATTTACCCAGGACAATTTGTAATATAACTTTTTTATGTTTCAATGGAGATTGTTTTATTGAGGAGCACAGATGGTTGGAGTACAGATGGTTTGGATTAAAAAAATGATAGTTTAATGCTCCATGTTTCCTCGGAAGAATGGGACTTCTATGGGTTTTTTGGGGCAAAGAATAGGCGGCAGTGATGTTTTTGTAATTTTGTATTATTTTTAAGTGAGTTTTTGCCTGAAAAGTTTTAAATTTATGACTATTACAGTTCTGTTACGCACAACATTACAAAACATGAACAGAATTTTTATTTTTCCATAAATAGTTGTCCCACAGTTATTTTCATACAACTGTTCCAAATGAGCAGTCAGCTTCCCCGTAGCAGCTTCCCTATGGCAGTGCAGCTGCAGCTGAGAAGCTGAAAAGCTCCAGCTGCGCTAAACAGAGCCTAAGGCAGTTAACTATACCC